TGGATATCTTGTAGAAAATCCCATATAAACCCTTATAATTCGATGCCATATTGTGTTGCTCGTGTGGTTCATAGAGAGAGCTTGGGCTGCCTGTGATTATACTAGAATGGGAGGTGAATTCAACATTCAAGGAACTATTTGAGTGTTGACAACATTAAACAAATAAGAAATAATTTTAAATTTTAACAAGAAATATTTAAACCAGAAAAATGGTACCTTGTTTAGTCAACTGCGAGAAATTGATCGATTACTTAATGTGTTTACCTCAGCTCGCTGTTTCGCTCCAGTCTCATTTTTGAGAGGAAATGACGCTGCCGGGATCCAAAGTATCAAGAAGAATACAAAGACTGTCATAGCTCTTAAAAAATACGTAACAAAAATACATAGGTTACTTTATATTTAATTGTTGGCACTCACTTTATTTAATACACAGTAACAATTTACTACACTAGATTCACCACTTCTTACAGTAATACTACTAACAACTAGTAGTAATCGAAGATTATGAGTACGTTCGTTTTCTACGCAGGTGACTAACCTAAATAGCTGTCTGTTGCTGAAATCGATCATTATCTTTGTGAACAGCTAAAGTTTTATAAACAGACGTAACATAATGACAAAGTCCCCTATTTGTCTGTAGATTACAGTCAAACCTCTAAAAAGCAGCCACTCTGGGGGACGAGACAACTGGTCGCTTCTTAGAGGTATAAAACAAAAAAATCACCCTTGGGACGGCAAGAAGCTGACCACGGCCGCTTAATAGAGGTTTTTATTACAGTGTATAGCTGAGAATTTTTCCGGGATTTTGGTCGCTGGCAGCCAAATAAAAGTTGGCCGCTTAATATGGGGCCGCTTAATAGAGGTTCAGCTGTATTTTGATTTCCTTGCTTTATTGTTGACACGTTGCGTAACAGATCCAGTTTCCGTAAGTCACAAGTTTAATAGATCATTTGCCTTCAAAATTCATGTTAAAATCTCAGTTTACCGTCAATTTTGAAGCATAAAGGCCAATTTCTAAAAGTACACTTGTGTTACATCTGGTATTCTAAGCTGGAAGCACAAATATCAGCTAGCATTTGCACTCACTTGCCAGTGTATCCGTGGTTTACCGTAAACAAACTCTGTGCAACTGGCAACTGATTCGAATATTTCCGCTGATGAATAGAAATAGTCGGCATTTACATTGCTGTTCCTTAGTTCTGGCCTACTCTTATAGATCTTGGCCTCAGAGTACTCTTCCATCGATTCAATTTTGAGCTTCGTTGAACACTGAACTATTTTTGCCCACTGGAACTAAGTAATTAAAGTCAACAAAATTTGTTTAATGTGCTCAAAATATAGCCAATGAAATATAGCTGTTCCCACGATTAACCCTTTGAGGCCCAAGTGGCCATATACGGCCACTTAATGATCCTGCTCTTTGTACCACTTGTGACGTCATCAATCTAAATGTCATCAGATATTCTTGATGAGCAGATACTGAGTAGTACTAGGCTAGGCCTTTCCGCACAATGGTCAGGTTTAGATATCGACGACATTCCGACGTCGCGAATCGAAAAGGAACGTTATCAGTTTTGGTGCAAAAACGGTGGTAAAATGGTCGACTACGCCTATGATTGATCAAGGTCCATTTCTAGGCTTCGCCCGTAGTCAACATTCAACTTTTCACGGCAGCCAGAAAGAACATGCAACGCAAAAGGTAGCCAGAGTAAAAGGGCCGAGGAAAAAAGAAAGGAAAGGGGCAACAAACAAAATTGAGAACGGGTAATGGCAAAAAAAGTCCAAATTTTGGCTTATGCGCATGCCCGGAATTGAAATTTTGCTCAATTTTGTGCCTAATCCTCGAAAAATCTCTCCTTTTAGTAAAAAAAAAAAAGGCTTTCTTAGCAAAACTTAGGCTTATTTAGCGTCATGGCAGGTAAAAACCCTGAGTAAACGGTAAAAAACGGTATTTTTTGGCTAAAGTTTGGTATTCAAGGGGTTAACATCCCAAAGCTCAGGCGATTTAAAGTCGCGGTCGTGAACAGAATAAATAATTGTTGTCCCAGTTATGTAACGAAAGCACGTCGTGTCGCATCCTGACAAAAGAGGCCACTCACGGTCCAGAATCAAAACGACAAACAAGCGATCGCTAACGATCTAAAAAGCAAATCACCTTGTTTACACGTGCTAATTTGTTTTCGCCCGGCCAAAATATCACTCTAGTCTACATTGGGACTGCATTCCCTTTTTTGTCGAATGCAATCAGAGTGAAAAACCAGTTCAAAGAATACTCCAAAACGTCGAAAACAACGAAAGAAGCTACAAAAGAGAACAAGAATGACGTTGCAGATGGACACGAAATGTACATGGACACAAAATGTACAGCATATGGTTTGGCGATGATGTCATTCGTTTTCGCCCCTGCTGCTGGGGCGGCCAAATCGGTGTCGCAGGATCTAAGATGCAAGACCACCGTCCCATGAAACTTGAATCAAGTCGGCATTAGGACTGCGTTCTACGAACGCAATAACTGTCTAATTTCTCGCGCGCTGATTGGCTCATTTTTATCATCAATAAGAATACAGACGGATAAAATTTTAATTTATGCAAGCTTTCAAGTTCAACTTTCAGTTGTCAAACTGTCAACTTTTTAACCAATGAGATTTTGTGGACTTTTTTAAGTAGCCAATCAAAAAGCGAGAAAAGATATTGGCAATGCTCACGTCATTTTGAATAAAATTCACTTATCTTTGTTTACGGCAAGTTTACGGAGTCTTTTCCCCTCATTTATTCCCGGCGTTTGACCATTTTGGAGTCTTGTTACTGCAAAAAACAAATTGACGTCAGTTTTTTATGCGTCTGTCCTCTCATTGATGATAAATTGCGTCATAACATCGTCAAAGTTTACTGCTGAACCACTCGCCCGCGGCTCGTGGTTCCACGGCCACTTTGACAATGTTATGACGCAATTTATCATCAATAAGAGGACAGACGCATGAAAAACTGACGTCAATTTGTTAAACTTACAATAGCCTGATACTCTTGAATTAAAATGTTTCAATTACTTTCTTGCATAATAAATTGGGAAAGCTACTTAAGGTGGTTGGCAACAGTTGCCAGTGCTTTCCAGAATTTATTTATTGGTAACGAACAAACGCCAAGTCATTGGTGAAAACGTTATGGTGATCTCCTTGACATAACAGAGTACGATCACGGAAACAGTAAAATCTGTTAAAACCCCTTAAATTTTGTTTTGTTTACTTATAGCTCTGAAACGAGCTCGGTTAGACAAACTTTTATTATCAGATTGTGATAAGCGTGTTCAGACACAAATTTGTAAGCCAACCTCGTCCTCAACTGGGCGCTTTCTCTCTAAATATTATAATTTATTTAATTTATATTTACTGTTTGACTTGCCTTGGGCGGTCGAACAGCTAATAAGTAATGTAAATAAAATAAAGTTCTTATCTCATTTTACATTATAGAGCGTTGTCGCTCACGCGGCCATCAGCCATGCAAATTTATTGAAAGAAATTAAAGGAAGTGTTTATATAAGAAAAGAGTTCAACTCTCACAGGACTGGTTTGGTACACCAATATGGCTGCCGTGACGTCATGCCAAAACGCTCTATATGTTGTTATTTGCACTAATGAATGATGAAAAAGATATTGGACTCTGTTTCTCGTAAAAGCCATAATAATCAAGGTCTCGGTAAGTGTTTTCAGCCTTGCCCGAGGCTGATCATGATAACACTCACCAATTTATTATCAACACTAAAGATATTCAGACATTCTTTTCATACTTGCTTTCCATATGTACGTCTGTGGCCTTTTTCCTATTTTCCCGTTCAATTAATGAATTTAGAAGGTTATCCCTACATGGGCTCCGGCGAAATATCAGCCATTGACTCACGTTTTAGCGTGCATTATCTAGTTATGGTGCATGCGGGAAGTTTGGAAAACACGAAAGAGGCACCAAGAATGGCTTCAGGCGCAGCCGAAAGCAGTTTTAGCTTTTTGAGTGCTCTCCAAACTCTCCGATTGCAAACGCATCATAACTCGATGATGCGCAGCTTAAGGCATGAATCAATTGCTTTATAGCATTACCACTGGAAACAAATGTACGACAACGACCATTCGCGACCACCACTCGCGCAAGAGAAAAAATTCTGTAGCGAAGCAAATTAACTTTACCCACGTTTTGAACGTGCATTTTACCTGGATTATGATACTCGCTGTCGTGTACTGAGTTTGATAGCGCAGCTTTACTAGCTATTACAATGCTTGATATAAGTTCCCTGTTACCTGTAAATCCTCTCTTCGCGGTGTCGTCCGTACAAGACTTATGTTACATAAAGTGTCCTAGAGCGGCGTTAAGTTAAAGTGACAAGACAGTTGCGAAATAACCTGATATCAACATTCTGCTGCCTAATTAGAGCGACATAGAGAAAGACCATGTGACATATCTAAATCCATCGCAAAGACACGGTGAAGACACATGGCATCGATGACTTTTTAAGCGCCAGAAGGGAAGAAGGATCAGAGCTTCCTTGGCATATCTTTCTTTGAATAATCACCTGCACGAATTTCCAGGTTTTAGCCTTTGACGAACATTTTTCATTAAGCAAATACAAAGAAACTTACCCTAAACAATTGCAGCTGAGTATACGCTGTTTCAAGTTGCCCAACATGAGTGGGCAGTTACACTTGAAATCACTTTTCCAAATTTTAACTTTTTCTGTCCTGTTTGACAGGCAAAAAAAAACGGTTGTTCTTAGAGCACAAAAGGTACAGCACAACTTTATCTCTTTAAAACTTATGCCAATAAGAATAATTAGTTCATTGGTATACAATATATCGATCTTCCATTCTAAGATAACGTGTCATCATTGCACGAATAGCAGCAGTTGTTACCTCGACACTTTGGATGACACTTTCATTTAACTAAAAGCCTTTTCGTCCATATTAGATTCTTTTCAATAGCCAAATGACAGAATTGGAACCTGTATCCAAGGTCAACCTAAAAAAGTTCTGAACTGCAAGGATAAAAAACTTGAAATTTGGGAAAGAAGTGCTGGTATTCAGTTTTCAGTTGAATTTTTGGCGATTTCTGAGTCTTAAGGGGGTATGGTACCCTGAAATATGGCGATGTTCATGAAAAATTCAATTTCTTGGAAATACAAGACTTAAGACCCTTGAGGACTTGTCAAAAACATTTTGAAACGATCTTGCCGAATTTCCTTCCAGATGAGTGTGAAATTTAAGGAAAGTGCACAGTGGTATAGGTTTTTTCACGTGACAACGGCCATAGCAACGACTGTTTACTATAAGAGGTAAAGTCTGCATGCGAGCCAACTGGCCCATCAGGCCGGAACTT